GGTGAAGCAGATAGTTCAGGCTTCTTCAATTTTTCACCACTCAAATGGTCATTAAGGATTTTGTAAAATCCATTGAAGTCCTCCTCATTAGAAAACCTCATGACAAAAATTTGACCAAACCCCTTCTTTCCCACCTTCGTGGCGGCGGCAATAATCCGCTCTCCTGTGTACTTGCGAATCTTTGCCATATTTTCAAGTATTGTCGCTTCTTTCTTATTCTGGAAAACCGCCTTTTCGTTAGTGATCGTGGACTTCACTCCTTTAGGCTTAGCCTTGGCTGCCTTCTGTAGTTCCTTTGTCATTTGAGGATTCATATTGGCCTCCTTCTTATACTTACCGACGTGGAAGTGTGTTAGACGGTATTCACCCATAGCTGCGAGTTACAGACGTTATCACAAATGAAAGCTTTGAAGCTATCGGAGCCCCTTATACCTTTTCGAGCACTCGAAACGCACCACATCGTCACTTTACACGCGATGATGTTGGTATCAGCCTTGCTTCAATGCGTGTGAGTAGGTGTTACCACAGCAACGAACAAGTGACAATGGTGGGATTTTGTGTCGTGCCAACTTTGCCTATTCTTGTATCTCTCTCTGCTTGAGTTTGCCTGAGACCCCGGGTGCATATGTGTGTTTGAGCTTCATTATTATGTGCTCATCCGATCTTAGCAATCGTGGATATTGCCACCAACTTCTTAATGTAGAGCTGTGAAATAATCCATGTTTATTATAACTTTTGCATTTCACCATTGTTCTGAATTTCCACACGCTAGATATATCCGTTATACTATATTTAACCAAAAGTCAGTAAAAGTCGCTGAAAAGGGCAATTTCACACTGAGAAGTGTTTTTTTGAATCAATTAGTTGTCTTCAAAGTAGCATGAAATGTATATGACACCTTTATTATAGCAATCCTTCGGACCTCGCCACAAAATAATACATTAACACCTAAGTTCCAATTGGCAACACTCTTCTCCATCCTTACAGCGAATGCCATCAACACTAATTTCTTATATAGTGCCCAAACTGCATTTAAAACCGTTTGCTTTTGGATAACCAGCATTAGCTCCTTTGAAAGTGGGCCGCATCAATGTACGCCAGATTAAGGAGGAACTTCACACTCCTAACAATGTGGCAACGGTCTGACATTTAACTCGACTGTCCATATATGTGTGCAGCCTCTCTACCGCGTTTCGTGTGGCCTCTATAAGTTGACTGACTCCTAAGTTGGTAGCATTAAGATGCTTGGTAACAATTTCTTTTTTCCTCTTATTTGCAAGGTAAACTACCAAATTAATGACCTAGTCGGAAGTGGATATACACCACCGAATGCAAAATCCTTGAACTTTGTGGTGTGTTTTAGTGGTGAAATCTAGAATTGGTCAAGGAACATTAAGCGTTGCATAAAATATTTGGTGACAAAAAATTATTCAAGCTTAAATTACAGTTGTTAATTAAAATATATCCAGCGCCTTTCTCATTGGCGGAATATTTAATATGCTTGTTGCTGGAGTCACATATTTGTGAAAAGTGCAGATTCTTATTATAAATGCAGTGATTAAGCTTGCAGAATGTGAAAACATATGCAAAATGTCTTTAGTATATAAATAAAATCACCTCCTTTCTTTATGTATAAGGAAAACGTGTCACGAGCAATGCAGAGATCCTCCTCGATCGGCATGATTTTCAATGGCATCTAAGCTTACGGAAAATTGCTTGTCATCTTTAGGAAGGATAGCTTACATGTAAAGAGAATTAATTTCAAGTGAGCGAATGATTTTGTTAAGTACGCTGAGCATTTGGCCTTGATTTTTTTTTAAGATTACATAATGTTTGATTTGAAAATAATGTCACAAATATTGTTTAGGTTATTGTGGAATCCAAGCATATCCGAGCGTCTTTATTTGGGAAATGCTGCTTTGAAAATTAACAATATTTTTTATTCTAATGGAACTAACGGCATTTCTCATATAAAAAGTAGTGGTAGCGTAATATCACTCTGAAATAGAGACATTTGCGACATCCTAAAGTTTTAGGAGTCATTTGTTCATTTTAGAAAAAAGTACTTGAGTGATTTTGGCTCTTATTTTGACTTTCTAGGCATAAACTATTGTAAAAACCAAAAAAGCATTTAAATTTTCAAAATTGACGATCGCATTCACCTGTAGACATATGCTTTGGTCCATGCTTGGCCTACTTTACAATCAGGCAGTAGCACAATTTAATCCCTTTCAGTTCCCAAATTTCGATGGGTATATAGTCCAACTGAGATTGACACCCATGAATGACAAAAAACTGCGCTTTTAAAAGGAGAAAACTTTGACCCTTTAAGTTTTGCAACAAAATATATAGGAAAATCACAACCACGAAAATGAAATAGCTGCAATCTGAAACTTCAAATTGTTCCCTTTCTCCACTGTCTACGGGCCATAGACCTGCTTCTATGTTGACATATCGGACACATGACATACATAGTCAATGGGGATCTTGACTGCCAGCTAACAATGGGTTCATCCATTGTGTTGATATCCGTATCCGTAGAGGAGGACATTGAATCAGCCGCAGAATGGTTGCGATACTTCCAGACATTACCCCTTTCGACTCTAATGGTGGAGGAAGGTGTAGAATAGCTGCTGCTGCTGCTGCTGTCGCTAGAACTGCTGCAGCCACTTCTCTTGCATGAAAAAATGTTGTTTAAAAGATTGTTTCGAAGTATTTGGGCAAGATTATTCTTTACTATAGAGTCCATTGTTGACGTGGATGGGGATGGTAATGAGGATGAAGATGATGAGGCACTTGTGAAGGCGCTGCGATTTGAAATGGAGTAGAGGTTTTCATTAACCTTGTTTGGTTCGTAGGTCAGCAGTTTCATCTCGGTGTGATCCTTATCTTTTCTCTTGGTGATCTTCTCCTCCTTTGTATAAACATCCTTTGCTGACACGCTGCCGCTACTGTTGGATGAGCTGGAATGCCCGTGTTTTACCAACACGTCTGTTGTCACATAAGTGGCAGCATCCATGCTTATTGGGAGCATTGGAAGACTTGATGTTTGTGTAAAAGACGATCGCGTGTGGTGTATTTTCTGCACTGGTGTATGCGGAGTAGGTGTGTAGCTGGATCGTGGGAGAGAAAACGCTACTGAATTGCGTTTTTCCTTTAGTGGAGGTGGAGTCAAAAGGTTTTCATAATCACTGACAGTACTGTCTCTTGGAAAGAGATTTATAAAGTTTAGGTAAGGGCTCCTCCATTTTTGTTCAGGTCTCCGCGTTTCTTCACTCCTCGCCGCTTCCATAAGAATCTCAAAAAATTCATGAAAATCGTCATCATTAGAAAACTTCATGGCAAAAATTTGCCCGGGTTGCCTTTTCCATGCTTTTGTGGCGACAACAATAATCCTGTGCTTCCTGTTTCTTCGCACATTCACAATATATGAACGTATTATTTTTTCCTTCCTGTTCTCAAAGACCACCATATCTTGTTCAATTGTACACCTCACATCATTTTGTTTACCCTTGGCTGCCTTTCGCAGTTCTCTGGTCATTCGGGTATACATCTTGGCCTCCTTCTTATACTTACCGACATGGAAGTGGGCTAGGCTGTATTCATACATAGTTGTAAGTTGCAGACGCTAACCCAACTGAGCGATTTGTTGCCTTCAAAGCCTATTATACCTCTGTGAGCGCTCAAAACACGCCATATTGTCATTCTACACGCAGAATCATCTACATCAGCCTCGCTTGCTTGTGTGCGAGTAGGCATTACCGTGGCAACAAATCCATGAATAAGAGTGAGCCGCCAACTTGACAGAGTTGACGACAAGACATTTGTGTACAGCCAATTTAATCTCTATCGCTCCATCCGCTTGAATACGCCGTATCGCGTGCGTGTAGGGGTGTACAGGCCTCACTGCCACGTGCCAAACCAAAATTTGCACCCGCAGAATTCGACAATAATATCATGAGGCAAAGATTTCAAATAACCCATGTTCGTTAAAACAAGGCACTGTGAAAATTCTGTCGCAATTTTTCCAATTTACTAACATACAAAATTTTTGCATGTTGGAAAACTCACCACAGTACAAGTTATTAAAAGCCACTGCAGCACAGATCAAACAGGAAAGTTTTACAGCAAAATTCCCCTTACCACTTTGATCAGTTGTCCTTTAAGTGAACTAGGATTTGGTTAACGAATGCAAAATTTTTTTTTGCAAATTTTACTTACCATATCACAAAACAGTAGAGTACTACCCTAAGTCCACTTAGGTGAGAATGACTTTGATCCTAACGGTGAGTGCCTTCGTCAATGACTCCCTAAATTATGCTCAAAGGACATTTGACATTGTTTACATCTTGGCAGTTATTGCTATTTCATTTGAAAGTGGGATGTACTTTTTGATCAAGCTGCATTAGGGTACGCCAATTTAGGAAAGAATTCTACACTTCTAATAATGATGCAATAGCTTGACGATTTACTCGACTGTCTACGAACAGAGTACAGCTTATCTGTCAAGACCCTTGTAGACTGTGGAAGTGAACATAACTTTTAACTTGGTAGCTTTAAAGTGCTTGGTCACAATTTTTTTATTTCTCTTGTTGGCAAGGTGAACTCTGGCATTTACAACCCATTCAAAGGCAGAGGTACTATACCGACTTCAGAATCCTTTGATTTTGTGATGCGTTTTGATGCCAAAATCTAGATCCACTTAAGGAATATACTATGCTGCTCAAAGGTTTTAGTGGCAAAAAAATAATCACATTTTACTATACGGTTGTCTGCCAAAATATGACTAGTGCAGTGTTTGCCTTGGCAGGCTATTTAACTTGCTTGTTGCCAGCGTCACATATATGTGACGACAGCAGGGATTCGTATATAAATGCACTGATTATACTTACAACAAATAAAAAAACACAACAAAAGTTTCAATTTAAAAATAAATCAACGCTTTGCCGTTTCGTGCACAAAAATCTTCAAAGAGAGCATAACTATTAATGAGCTGTAGTGCACGATATTGGCTTAAGTTCAAAATAGGAACCTATGCGACTGTGTTTAGAGTAGATCGTTAATGCACATTATTGTAAATTGCCTAATATTAACTAAAACTTTAAAAGGATTGTTGACAATCCCATCAAACCTATGCATGAATGTAATTAGATGTCCCGCCACACCAATCCTGTTCTGATGGAAGAACAGGCATTTAAGTTCATTGAAGTTCTCAGTCAAGGAGACACCCTCTTCAAATTTCCTAGTGACTGCATTTACATTTACTCACAGAAAAAGTACGTGCCTGTATTTATTGTCTGTGCCACACAAACTACAGCTGATGCGGCCACACTACTACCACATCCTCCCGCATGACGTGGCTATGCTTCGTCAATCACCCCAAATGAAAGCAGGATTACAAGCACCAACTTGCCCATTGGCTGCGTGGGGCTTGAATTTTGGCCACCCAAAAAATTATTAAGCCTTTTATCGTGGTGCAGAACGTTTTTTGATGTTCCTGAAGCAATTTTGCATCAACTACTTATGCATTACTTACCTACATTTTTGCTCTGTCAACTTAAGTAAGGAGTTTATTTTACCAGGGTTAGAAGAAGCTTTAAAGAATTCTTTGTTTAAAAGGAACTCTCCTTACGTGGTCAATTTGGAGACTGCTTTAACTTGACGCACTCCATATCATTACTTTGACAGAAAGCATTTTCAGCAAATAATTCAATCTGATCTGCAGGAGCTCAAACCAGTCATTGGAAGACAAGCACAAAATAAATGCACAAACAATCGAATAATTTTAGAAAACTTTTAGAAATATTCTATTTGTTTTGGCGATCATCGCTGAAATGATTCAATCTCCTGCTGTGTTGGGGGTAAAGCTCAACGTCCCTATATGTCATCCCCATATCGTTGCATCTATCGCACTACTAATACCAAACTCTCTCCCACCTACCATCGCAGGATGTCAAGAATGGAGATAGGTATCAGGTGAAGTGGAAAGAGAGTAAAGAGCAGCCGATGAAGCACTTACTTAAGCAATGTACTTTTAGTGAGTCTGTCTGCAGGTCATCTCTCATAAATAATTCGTGGTGTCGGTGGTTTGATTCCTCCTCACTGGAGACAAATATTATACTGTTGAAATAAGTTCTGATTACTTTTATCTAAAAATTTTGCATTTTATTGAGCCTTATTCTTTCCGTTATTGAGGAGTAGTGCATCCACCTACCTCCCTCTCTCTTTTTGGTAATACATCAGTCAGATTACGCAGTCGAATGTTTCAAAACACTGTATTCTGGGGCAATTGTCTGACTGTCACCCACACTCCCGCTTCTACTGTCTTACAACTTGACAACATTCCAGTTTTTCGTTGAATGCTACGCATTAAGCCGACCACCACGGATACCATCCATCAGATCCATTCAAAACTGCATGATGAGACTTTAAGATTGGAAGAATGTAGTGCAATGCCCAGAAGCAGAAGGTGCGGCGTTGATAGACGGGTTTGTCTTCCTCATATCGATGCCTGATTCATAATGCATGCACATGACCGATCACGAAAGGCACTTAAAAATCATAGCATTGGTCCCCACTGAGAACCACACAGGCATTTTCAGCTGTCAAAATATAATGAGAACTCTAAAACTCATATAAATTTATCACAAATTTTAGTTGTTTTTTGGCAGAAAGCCAGGATATTTTTCTCCTTTTGTTGGTAGGTTAAATTCTTTAGCACTGTTGAGAAGGGTTTATTATTTATTATATCCCTCCCATATACAGAACTAACAGCTAACTCGGAAACTTTAAATCACATCTCGAAGGACTCTAGGACCGTATTGAAGATAAGACCTGGAAACCTATTCTTATAATTCCCATTTTATTTTTAATAAAGTGATTAACTTGGCTATTGCTAAAGAGAAAATGTCTTCATCATGTGTTACTGAGGTCGAGCCTTTAGGTTTAGATCATAGGGCATTCAGCATGGACTGCTATTTTGACGGAGTTCTTTAACAAAGAAAGAGGACCTTTTTTTAAACTTCCTTTTTCCCTCTAACGAAGCTTTAATTGATTC